GTCTCCCCGGAGCCTTCTCTTCTCTAGGCTGAACAACCCCAACTCTCTCAGCCTTTCTTCATAGCAGGTGTTTCATCCCCCCGATCATTTTCATGACCCTCCTCTGGACCCACTCCAACAGGTCCTTGTCTTTCTTATGCTGAGGGCTCCAGAGCTGGACACAGTACTCCAGGTGGGGTCTCACCAGAGCAGAGTAGAGGGGCAGAATCCCCTCCCTCGACCTGCTGGCCACCCTTCTTTGGATGCAGCCCAGGATACGACTGGCCTTCTGGGCTGCGAGCGCACATTGCTGGCTCATGTCCAGCTTTTCATCCACCAGTACCCCCGAGTCCTTCTCGGCAGGGCTGCTCTCAATCCCTTCATCCCCCAGCCTGTATTGATACCGGGGGTTGCCCCAAATCAGGTGCAGGACCTTGCACTTGACCTTGTTAAACCTCATGAGGTTCACACAGGCCCACTTCTCAAGCTTATGATCACATACTAAGTCATCTGATTTTTTTCCACAAAGTGTTATTAATATTAAAATGTAGTGTTTTTTTTCTTTCTCAGCCCCATCAGCTGATGGATCCCTGACATATTTCTAGTGGCATTATTAACCAAAGAAGAGGAATTTCAACTGACATCGACCAGGAATCACTGACTTTCCTTCACTCATTACCAACTTCGCCGATAGCATATAACATTACACATATGCATTTGCACGTGCATATACACACACAGACACAGTATCTACTGTGTTGGGTAATATAAGCCTGCACATCTTCAGTGTCCGTGTCTCTGAAAATGACCCTGAAAAAGTAAGCTAAGCCCATCCCCGTTTCTATATATAAAACTGTTTGTTTAATTGGTGGATTGCACCAAGAATAAATAATGAGGTAATTCTGAAGATCATTCCCAGAACAGTCAGCTAGGATTGACTAGCAAGTCAGAGCGATCTTCTCTCCTTTATTTTGTTTGGGGTTTTTTTTAATGGTTTCATTGTCTGAAGGTGAACAGCTTTTATCTAAATGCAATTTTAGGAACCGTACAATATTTCAAGAACGAAGCAATCTGCATGTAAGTGAGGTTTTGGAGTGTTTGTTTACTGAATGTAAAAGTTGTTAAAAGTTCATATCCTAAAACTGGATCAAGGATTCTAATCAGACTGGAGTTGAAGTTCCTTCCATGCAAAAAAAGAAAAAAGAAAATAAAAGAAAGAAAGAAAGAAAAAAAAAGCTTTCAAGTACTCTCAGTCAATTAGGAAAGACTACCATCAGATTTTTTCCAAGGTATTGTACAGATCTTATTTACCTTGAGTAACAACAGTTTAAACTAGGAACTTAACTACAAATTTTATTTCAGAAAAAAATATTTTAAAAAGACTTAAACAGGTATAATAATGCCTTTTTCACCTTTTTTTTAACTCTTCAGCTGTAACAGGTTATAAAGGCTTGATAATAATAAAAAAAATTCCCTTCTGGTTTTGCTCCTATTATATTTTGCTTTGTTTCTTCTAACGTATCAGAAGTATACATGGCTCCTCTATGTCTTGATCTGTGCGCTTACAAATAGATGAGGTAAAAAGTAGCATACAAAATTCAGAGTTAAGTCAAATTACTGCACGGTAATGGGGTAGGCTTGCTCACAGGCTTGCTGGTGATTTCTTATATTAATACAATAATTGTCTTTTTTAATGACTGTGGACATAAGTGGAACTCGTGTAACTTGACCCGATGTGGTTGAAAGAATACAACCTCTAGTCAAATACCAAACAGACCCTATGAGGAGAGTACTGTGCCTGTTTGATAGATTATAAAATTAAGAGCTTAATTGTCACGCACTTGGTGATGTATTTATTTTATCTCTCAAATAGGGAGCCAGAAAAACTAAAGGCAAAGGGATATGCCCAAGCTGACAAAGCAAGTCTATGAAGAAGTGTGAAATTGAAACTAGACACTGACTCATAGAACAGTTTATACCTTAAATCTTTCATGCACCTCCATATGCTTTTTCACTTCTGAGATGCTGTTACTTATTACCAGTTTAAGGTAAAAGTCTTAATTTCAGTAAGTGTCTAGTGATAGCTCTGAGTAGCATACACAGAAGTTTCTCTTGATTCCTAGGACTGATGCACTGATTCACCCTAAGCTGGTCTCAGCCACACGCAGAAACGTTCTGCCACCCAGCTATAGCTTTGGGACCCAATGTGACACCTATCCTATGGCACTAACTCACCAATAAAACCTTTCTAGAAGCTAGTTTCATCTTACCTTCTGGGTTGTCTCCGACTACCCTGTAGACAGGAAAGCTGGGGATTAAGTGGTAGCATGGAGTCAAGAACCAAGGAGTTACTGTTTTGCTGCCAGACTTTTTCAGTTCAAGTCCTTGTTCAAAGAGTGAGTTTCAAATACTACAGAGAAATTCAGGCTTGCAGGCAGGACCTAGCTCAGACCTAGAAAATCTGGATTTCTAAGCAACTGTAATTAGCTTGACCCTTATTGTTAGGGTTACACTGCTTAAACCGGCAGATTCCAAAATAGGATCAGGGCCAAATCAGTTATGATCTGTTTTTATTTATCTAAAAGTCTCATGTGGACCTAATTTGCTATTGTGTGTAAAGAAATAATGAGCAAGTAGAAAGGATTATGAACACGTTTGGCCTAGAGAGGAAGAGAGAACGCAGCCATAACTTCAATTTTGAAATGTCTTATTTCATCATAAGCTTAACTTTCAAAGCTGACATGGGGATTTTGGTACATAATGCCTCATTTTCAACTAATTGCATCTTAACTGAACATCCAAACCTTCAATTTGGAAGCTCAAATTAGCAGCTATATGATGGGTTTTTTTCAAATGTGTGTAGATGCCAACTGGAGGATCTAGGCATCTTATAAGTACTATATAAAATAGATTGAAATAGAAATGAGAACTCTTTAATCAACTTTAGCCAAGGAAGAGGGGAGACTGTGGGGAAGAAATGGTTATGCAACCCAGGAAAGAGGAGGAGAGCGCCTTTTCAGCAGAGGAGACCTGTCTCCTATCCCCTCTTCTTACATTAACACTTTTGCTTTACCTCTTTGCATTTGAGAATATGTAAAAACATATACTTACTGCACTAGCTATGTATTAATTATTTAGCAGTTCTTATAATGTACCTTTTTAGGAGTCAAAAATCTTTCTTCAAATGCAGGCAAATAATCCATACACCAGACTATTTTAGTCTAATTGTAAAAAACAAAAAAAAAAGGCAGGATAATAAATTCAAATGCCAGTAAACAAGATTAGTAGCAAATATAATAAACACTAAATTAGATATTCAATTATTTGCAAATCAGCAGCTTAGATTCTAGCTCTGCTTCATTTTATGAGAGTACACTATAAAAGTAATCAACCTAACGAAGCAGTATTTCCCAGGCCTTTTTCATTGCTTGCAAAGGTTAAACTTACTTCTGTACCTGTGCTTATTAACATCTGCTCTGCCTTTCAAGCTATCTGTTACCACAGGGAGAGCACAAAATTGTTGCTAGCACTGAAGGATTTCCCATAGATACCAAAAATTAATTCATTTATATTACAATAGCATTCAGATATCTAAATAGTTTACAAACATAGTATACATAGCTGGGACTCACTGTACCCATTATATGTAACAAGTAATATCACTCCACAATGTACTCATATATCAGACTACTTGCTCATCAAGACTATCCCAATTTTTATAATTACAAATCCACCTTAGTTCCCAATCAGCGCTATGCCAAAGAGGTCTAAAATTCTTAATATGGGGCTGCATGATCTCCAAGAGAAGAACACAGGCTTCTTTTCCTCACCGGAACCAATCTTTGATCATGAATAGCTCACAACACCGTACACTACTTCTCCATGTCTCCACACCACATATGGTTCAGAAAGTCTGTAAAGTACAAACTGGTGGAGCCTGGAACACATCATCTGGTCTTCCCTACACATCCACTTTTTTGACCAGTGTCAGAGAAATACTATCAGGCAAGTCAGATCTCTGGTCCTCTGCAGCACAGCTATTCATATGTACATCGATTATAAAGTCATAATCAGCACTTTCATAACTCTAATTTTCATCCTGAACCTCTTAAAATAGAATCATCTAGCAGATATGTGTACAGATTGCACTTCTTCCTAACTGCACTTTTTTGTAACTCAGTATACAATCACCTGCCTCTGCTACATGAGATTATTATGCTAGTTGGCAAAAAAAATAAGAAAACTTGAGGACCCCTGTATGCATTGTTTTAATTATGGCATGTAATATAAAGTATATCTTTCTTACAAATCAGATAGCAAGATGATCTTTTTTACAGTGCATTCTTTCATAAATTTTAAATATTCATTACTTTTATTAGTGCCTATTTACATATTGGTAAATGCTGTTCTACTTTCTTTATAAAAAGGATTATCCTTTCTGTTTGTTTAAATGGATTTATACGCCACTGAGACATACAATGAGGGAGGTAGTAACTTCTAGGCTTCGAAAACTCAAGTCTTTAGACATGCTTTTATTAAGTAATAAGCATAATCAATATATGATGACAGTCTTTACCAAAAAACTTCTTATAATCTGCTGTTTTATCCCTAATCAATATCTTGACTAATTCACCCTGAAGTTTTCTCAGCTCTGTATGTAGAAAAAACCAGCATCCTTACTTGAAGGCACCTTGCTTTAGGGCTAAGAAGAAACAAAGAAAAATGTAACTTTTCTAAATAACTCCCACGCTACGTTGTGTCAAAACTACATTCTAAATGTTGAAATTCACCCAGTGAAGAGTACAAGCATCCCATCAAAAACTTTTTACCACCTGTCAGGCAAGATTTCATGTGGTGGCATATACCAGTTAAATACGAATGCAAATCACTGCTTCCTTAACTATTTATGCAAATTAATTTTTCAGTTGGGTATGAGGTGCTTATATTTTAAGCCTACCAAGTTGATTAATGACTTGGTCAACATAAGTCTTGGTTCACCCAGAAAGCATCTACAGACAAATAAATAAAACACTACTTGCCAATTTGTAATATTGTATTTATGCTTCTACCCTGTGCATGCTGAATGATGGCAGTAGCAAGTGAATCAAATGGGAACATTACAGCTTCCCAAATGCCACAATCTGAGAATATTTCATTAGCAATATTTATAAAATAAATTTTTCCAACTTTCCTAAGGAAAATCAAACTTAGAAACAAAAGCAACCCTGTGCTCTTTGAAAGCATCAAAAAAGACATATGAAGTCAAACTGTTGGTGAACTAGGTGTGAGAAGAAGTTGCAGAGGAGGAGTTCCAGCAAGGGTTGGTGGCGAATGGTGCTAGTTGAGACAAGTGTCTGCTTAATAGAATCATAGAATCATAGAATCATTAAGGTTGGAAAAGACCTCTAAGATCATCGAGTCCAACCGTCAACCCAACACCACCATGTCCACTAAACCATG